TTGGGAAAATTAACAGGGCAACATGTGCCAGATTTGTTTTTGGGAAATAAATAAACCTGTTAAAACATAATAAAATATTAAAAAAAAAACACATAAGTTTTAAAACTTGAAGATCATCCAGGTGGCTTTAAAAGAACTTAGTACATGGAAGTCCACATTTATCCGAAATGAACATTTACTTTGGCCAAAGATTCTTCTGACTTTCTTGGATAGGGTTATTTATATACAAAGTTCCTTAGCCTCATAAATTCTGCTTGAATTACAGAAACTACATCAATACATAAATTTTCAATAAAAAGAATATTGATTCAAGGGAGGGACACATATTGTCATAGGTGAATGAAGCAATTAAAATTTCAGAGGGTATCAAATACCATAAACTACCTAATTTGATGTACTTTTAATTTGTTTTGTGTAAACTGATTAATACATTTCCAGCTTTTTTTCACTGAAGATTAAGAATAGTTCTTTCTTTTACAAGTTACTTGACTTTGATCCATCAAAGAAAGTTTATGGAATCCCCATATAAATCAATGAGTTGCGTTTTTCATCCATTCATCAAACTTGACTTGAGCACTTAACATGTCCCAAGCACTATGACACTTGCTGGGAGAAACCACAGTAAGGAAAACTTACATAGGCCTTTTTATCCTCAAAGAACCTATAGTTCTGTGAGGGAGGCAGACATAAATTACACAAATTACTACAATCTATTATAATGTTTCAAAGGCTAAGCACAGGGTGCTATGAACTATACATAGAAGACTTGCCCCAGGCTAAGGCATCAGAAAAGGGGTCCCAGAGGGAGTGATATTTGAGCTGAGACAATACTCATAATATTAGCTACCATTTACTGACATTTTAAAAAGTATTAGCTCATTAAACCACACAATGGCCTATTGAATTAGATACTTTATCTCATTTTGTACTTGAGAAAACTGAAGCTAAGATAACCACAACTAGGAAGTAACAGAGCTTGCAATTGAATCCAGATGCTAACTCCAGAACACATATTGTATTCTTAGCCATTAGTCATAGGTCCTTTCCAAAGAAAAGGATGAGACAGAGTATGCTCAGGATGCAGTAACGAAGTACTTAAGAAACATAAAATTGATTTCTCACAGTTCTGGAGGCTGGGGAGTCAGTTCCTGGTGAGGGCTCTCTTCCTGGCTTGCAGATGTCGCTGTCTCACTGTGTTCACGTGGCCTTTCTTCAGTGCTGCACAGAGAAAGGGAGATCTCTTTTTCCCCCCATTTCTTATAAGGTTACCAATCCTATTGCATTTGAACTCTTATGATCTTATTTAATTGTAATTACTTCTTAAATCCCTTCTCTTCAATACAGTCATATTGGGTATTAGGGCTTTACCATATGAACTTGGGGGAGGGGGACATAATTCTGTTTTACAGCATATGTTAACTACTAGGTAGGAGGAGAGTATTCCAGATGATAAATAACTATGATATCAAATGACTAAGAGTGTAGATTATGACAGATATGTGTGTTTGGCAACTCTTCTAGTTGAAACCATCTCTACCAACAGAATCTAATTTCTGTAACAAAGACCCTCCCTTCAGATAAAATATTTGCAAATACTGTCACCTAGTGGTAACAGGCAGGAGGTACTTATAGGTGAGTATTACTGAACTGGTATATTCAGCTGCTTACCTTGGGGTGCTGATTTATCAATCTCCATCCCTTTATTAAATCATTACCTGAGGATATTTGTTCTATTGATTTTTAGACAGAGTGGAAGAAGGTGAGGAGAGAGAGAGAGAGAGAGAGAGAGAGAGAGAGAGAGAGAGAGAAACATCAACGTGAGCTAGACACATCCATTTGTTGCCTCATGCATGTACCCAGAATGGGGATAGAACCCACAACTGAGGTATATACCCCTGTCTGGGAATTGAACCTGTGACTTTTTGGTCCTTGGGCTGATGCTCTGAACACTGAGCAACCCACCAGGGCTCAATTTCCCCTTTACTGTGTGTACTCTCAAGGTATTTTTCCTAGGAACAACATTCATTAAACTAAACATTATAACATCAAGGCTTCCTACTGTATTAACTCTCTCTCTCTCTCTCTCTCTCTCTCTCTCTCTCTCTCTCTCTCTCTCTCACACACACACACACACACACACACACACACACACAGACAAGTAATGTGATAGTTTCAAGCTCTCAGAGAAAGAACAGGAGCCTAAATTTAATCCCATCCCATTTTGAGTCATACCAGATAAATCTGGGCCAGCAGAAGAGTAAGTGATAAAGACCACCAGTGAATATGTTTTATATAGCAGTGTAGATATGAGTCACTGTACTGGATAAAAAGCCTCAGCTAGTTGAGGTAATATCAGAAAATAAAGGGAATATGTAATGGGCACTGGAAAGTCATAAATAGCAACTAAAGTCTTGTGAATAGCTGAAAAAATTAGGACACTAGTATTTTTATATGCATAAGTACCAAACTAACTAGAGTGGGTACTATTCTTGGCAAGTAAAAATCATAACTAACATAAAAGTTCAGTCTTAACTCTAAATGGCTTAGGTGGTAAAATCACCTGAAGAAGTCCGCTTAACAGGGACATAACGGTAATGTGAAGTGGTGCCAAGAGAGGGATTACATAAAAGCTATTTGGATCTTTACTTTCCTTTATTATATGCATTAGGCTCCCTCATTTAGGATAATCCTTCCTCTGGTTCAACCAGGGCATTATTCTCAGAAGAGCCATCACTAGATCCTACCTCTGGAAATTAGCAACTTTCAGTGTTAGCCTCATAAAATCCTAAACGTGGAATAAGTACTTGACAGGTTAATTAGTCCATAAAAACCAGACATGAGTATTATTGGATGTATTGCTTAAAATTCCTTACGTTGCAAGTAATACAAAAACTCAAATTGAATTCATTTGAGTTCAAATTAAACAGTTCAGAGATAACTCGAGCTTCAAGAGATGCCTCATATAGGGCTCAAACAACAAGACCAGAACTCTTTTCTTCCTCTCTATTTATCAGCTCTGCTTTTGATTCTATTTTAAGCACTCTTTAAGTTTCATGGAGTCAAGATGGCAGTTGGCAACTCTGGGCTGGAAAGTTTAAGTACAGAAGGGGTTAACAAAATCCATTTTTTCCAGCAGTCCCAGTGAATATTTCATTTTATTTCATTGATGTGACATGTACATCTCTGAACCAATTATTCTAACTAAAGAGATGGGATACCCTGAAGCTGAAGGGTAGGATAAATTCTAAACAATCCATATGGCTGGAAATGGAGGGGGAAAAATGAATTACCCAAAGAATAATCACTATGCTTTTGATACTTAATATTGTAGTATGCACATGAATAGATCTTAAGCATTCTCAAAGGTAGCACAAAAATATGTGTGGTAGTAATTTTATAATATACATGTCTAGAAAAATCAGCACACTGTACAGTTTAAATGTATATAATTCTTTTATCAATTATACTTCAATAAAACTGGAATAAAGAAGAAGAAAAGAATGATTTTGGCAGGAAAAGGAACAGGGATTGATGCTGGGAAATTAGCCAGTAAAAGTCCACAGTATTGGAATGGTGTACCATTTGAAGAAGGACTGTACCTATTCAGGGTGAAAAGGAGTATAGCAACGGGGCTCATGAAGAGTTGAAGCCAGTGCTATAGGTAGCAGAATCAGGAGAGGCTGCAGACTGGGCTGTCATTGCCATTACACTATTAAATAGTTGAAACTGCCTCCTGATATAATTATTAATTTTGGTATCAAATTATCACACAGGGGGGTTGTGACAATTCAATTTCTGATGTCTTCTCAGATGGCTCTTCTGTTTCTATTGTCAGATCCTTCTTCTTCTGTTCCATGAATTAGTATAATCACTAAAGTCCTGCACATAGCATAGCATGTCCTCCCCTCCTCTATCCATCTCCGCCCTCCTCCTCCCCTCCCCACCTCCTTCTTCCCCCCCCTCCTCTTCTTCTTCTCTCCTCCTCCTCCTCCTCCTCCTCCTCCTCCTCCTCCTCCTCCTCCTCCTCCTCCTTCTTCTTCTTCTTCTCTCTCTCTCTCTCTCTCTCTCTCTCTCTCTCTCTCTCTCTCTCTCTCTCTCTCCTTCCCTCCCTCTCTCTATCTCTCCCTCTCCCCTCCAGGTTTTGAAAACTTCATCTCTATCCTATGAATCATGAAAATTTGTAAATTAATCTAGTTCTTATTTGCAAGCTTTGTGTCTCAGAGTCCTGGCCTTGCTCTTGCTTGATCCCAAAAAGACTAACTTGGAGCTTTATGAAATAATATGAAAGAACAAGGAAGTCTACACCATATTCTGAGTAAGGGTTTATTGAACCCTCCATTCTGTTTATATATATATATATATATATATATATATATATATATGGATTTTTTTTAATACATAGACTAATTACTTGTCCTTTTATTTTTTTTTAAATTATTTTTAGCCGAAACCGGTTTGGCTCGGTGGATGGAGCGTCAGCCTGCAGTCTGGGGGGTCCCAGGTTTGATTCCGGTCAAGGGCATGTACCTGGGTTTTGGGCACATTCCCATTAGTGCTTGTGCAGGAGGCAGCTGGTCAATGTTTCTCTCTCATTGATGTTTCTGGCTCTTTATCCCTCTCCCTTCCTCAATTAATGTGTGTGTGTGGGGGGGGTCCCCTCAGCCCAGTCTGTACCCTCACCAATCTGGAACCCCACAGGGATTGGGCCTAAACCAGCAGTTGGACATCCCTCTCACAATCTGGAACCACTGGCTCCTAACTGCTCACCTGCCTGCCTGATCACCCCTAACTGCCCCCCACAATGGCCTGGTCGCCCCCCACCTCCCCCACCAGCTTGGTTGCCTGTCACTGGTCTGGTCGCCCCATGCAGCCTGCTTGTTCAGCTGTTTGGTAGTCCCTCATTATCCCCCCTGCCAGCCTGGTCATCGCCCATACAGCCTGTTCAGTCATCCATTCTGTTGTTGTGGTTGCAACAGTCACTTAGGCTTTTATATATATAGATTACAGTTGATGTTCAATATTACATTAGTTTTAGGTTTACAGTGTATTTTAAGCAATTTATCCAAACAAGCAGGGACCACCTGGAATTCATTTCACTTATGACATTGAGTGTCCAATGGTGGTAGTGGCTGTACTCCATCCAGACAGTTCCTAAACATGACCTTAATTCTGATACAGAAGCTTCTATGACTTTGTTAATTATGCCTTGAATGCACTTGATCAGTCAACCCAGATTATGCCTTGAATGCACTTGATCAATCCTTTATGGTCTGGCCTAGCTCAATCAGAAATAGAAGTCTGCAAAGGAATCTGAGAAGAGGAAAGCAAGGGGGTGGGGGTGGGGAGGGAGTTAAGGCATCCCAAGCCCTAAGGGGAAACTCACTGAGAGCAATCAACTCTGTCAAATGTCCAAATGGGCTCAAAAACCCGTGATCCATGGGGCAGCTGCTAGGACTCAGAAGTGCTCATTAAAATTTGGCTATTAGTATTTCTGATTAAATTTTTGAATAATGAATAGGCATCAGATTTACAAAACATAAATCCATCCTTTCAACACACACACAAGAGCTCGGACCCTAGCAGCCCACTGCATTAGTTCAAATTCGGATTCTACCGCTGGGCCAAGACACTTCTCTTCGTGGGGCTTTGTTTTCCTCTGTAGACCAAGGAGGATAACAGCACACGTACCTCACAAGGCTTAATTTAGACAATCCGTGTACACTGCAGCCCCGTTCGGGCACATGGGGAAGGCTCAAGTATTAACGCCAATAGAATAGCCATCAGTCTGTCCTACAGAGATGCTGTGACTCTGTCCTACGATGCTTTTAGGCAGGCTCTGCCACTCAGGTTTAGGATCCTGGGACCTTAGGACCAGAAGGAAGGGCCCTCAGAGCTCCTGCGGCCCATCCGCTGGCCAGGCTCAAGAGGCCCGCACGCCTCAGACTAGCCCATGGCTTCACCGTCCAGCAGCACTGTCTCTCCGGAAGGTACTGCCTTTAAAGATCAAAACAAAACAAAACAAAACAAAAAAACACAGCGAGGAGAAGGGCCCCCTGGTGGACACCCAGGAAACCAATTCAGAGCGAAGTTGAGATGGAACCAGCCCCGCCACGCCTACTCCGAGCTCTCCGCTCTCGCCCGCACCTGCGCAGTCGCAGCAAGTGGGCGGAGCTGACGCGCGGCTAGGGCTGAACTTCTCGTGAGAAGTGCGCGTTCTCGCGAGAGCTGCATTCAAAAAGCCTTGGCGCTAACCCGGAAGGTGGGTGTGCGCGTTGGTCGATGTTGCTGTGTGGCGAGTAGAGTTTTTTTCAGGAACCCGGGCGCAGTGAACTGCGGGGGAAAGCAGTGCTAGAGGTAGGGGCAGAGGGCCTGGAGGGGAGTGTGTGTGGAGCGGAGCGGCGCTGAAGGGCTCCTGCGGGGAAGAGAGGGTCCTAGGAAACCCGGGGCCTGGATCTCGGCCGAGGGCGTTAGCCGGAGCAGCTTCTCCCGCGGAACCCCGAGTTCTTGCACTCGGGGTTCCGAGTCCGTTTCAGTTTCCCGTTGGGCCGCCTCGCTGCCCCCCGGGGATGCTGCATGAACTTGGAAGGCCTGGGTGGGCGCCTGGGCCTCCCCAAAATAACCTGCGCTGTCCAGTATGAGAAATGCTATAAATGTGAAATGCACAGTGGATTTCGAAAACTATACAAAAGTCATATTTCTTTTTAATAAGTTGTATGATTACATGTTGAGATATTTCGGATACATTGGGTTAAGGAAAATATTACTCAAATGAATTTCAGAGATCCTTACCTTTTTTAAAAAATATGTTTTTTTTTGATTTTTTTACAGAGAGGAAGGGAGAGGGATAGAGAGTTAGAAACATCGAAGAGAGAGAAACATCCATCAGCTGCCTCCTGCACACCTCCCACGGGATGTGCCCTCAACCAAGGTACATGCCCTTGTCGGGAAGCAAACCCAGGACCCTTCAGTCCGCAGGCCGATGCTCTATCCACTGAGCCAAACCGGTTTTGGCTACTTACCTTTTTTTAATGTGTCTGCTTGACAATTAAAAACCACATATGTGGCTTGCTTTATATTTCTTTTGGACAGCGCTGCCCCCGCCAGCTGCGTGTCTAATTCTCCCCTAACTGCTCTTCACAGCCATTGGCTGATTCAGTCTTCTCAAAAACCCTGTTAGGTCTGTGTTATTGCCCTTATTTTATGGATGACAGAACAAGACATTGAATAAGATGCTCTGGTTCATGCAGCCAGTGAGCAGTGAATGTGGGCTAAGAACTCGGCAATCTGATTCCCAGAACTTCCCATCTCCTAAATGTTTGGTGCAGGCTGTGCTTCCCAGAGGCAGAGTAGTGGTTAGGCCTTCCTTCCCATCTCACTTAACCCCTTACTAGCTGATAACCTTTGGGCAAGTTACTTAACCTTTCTGTGCCTCAGTTTGCTCATGTGTAAAGGGGGGAAATAACTTTATTTCATGGGGTTGTCTAGTCTTATTAAATAAGAAAATATGCAAAGCACCAAGCACAATATCTGGCACATATTAGCTGTAGTTATTATTCAATCCTGTCTACCTCTCTTTGCAGATGGATATTTAACTCTTCCGCAACCACCAGACTTTTACTGAAAACTCACTTCCTCAGGAAAATCTCTCTTGTCCTGATCCCCGCCCACCCTATCCCACTACCCAGATTGGGACAGTTCCCCTGTGTTATAGGCTCAGATTGTACCATACAGCTCACCCTGTTGCACTTAATTTCAGTTTTACCTTTACAGTTAAGTTATTTGATTTAATGGTTTTCCACTCAGAGACTATAAGATTAAAAAAGATAGGGCTATTTTCTAGTTTTGGTTCACCATTGTGTTCTCAGCAATAGCTCAGTACTTGACATAATAGGAATTCCAGCAAATCCTTTGAATGAACGAGAGCTAATATTTTGGCTTCCTGGACATTGACAAAACATTGTCATTGCTGGCTGGCTTGTTTTTCTTTGGTAAATTTTAACCTAGGACTATCAAGAGAATTAAATGAGATAATGCATTTGAAACACTGTGCCTGGCAAATGGTAAATCCTCAATAAGCATAAATGTTTTAACAGTGCAACAGTTAGCAGCTGGCCCCATCATGCACAGGCTTTGAAAAGGGCTTGCATTTCAGAGCAGTAACTGCCAGCCCTGGGTAATGTAGATATTTTTCTTGTCTTCTAAACCCTTGTATCTCCTCTTTTATCTTCATTCTTAAAGACCTTGCTTCCTAATTCACAGATCAATTGAAGTAGTTAGAAGGACACTTATGCAGACTCCCACCATTGTATTTACATACTTATCAGTGTTTGTAACTATAGACATTGCTTTCCCATACTTTAATGAAATAATCATGCTTCTGTCTAAAATCAGTTCCTGTACATTAAACCTCATCCACTTTATTCATCACTTCAGCAGTCTTCCATGTGTTCTATATTATAACTTTTTCTTCCCTCCTGGATCTACCCTGTTTCCCTGAAAATAAGACAGTGTCTTATATTAATTTTTGCTCCCAAAGATGCGCTAGATCTTATTTTCAAGGGATGTCTTATTTTTCCATGAAGAAGAATACAGTACACATTTATTGTTAGATGAAAATAAAGGAAATTTATTACCTGTATATGGTACGGTAGTACGGTAATTGTCAACACAAACCAGACAAACTGAATCCTACAGTATCAAGAATTTACTCATTTATTCAATGACAATCATGTCATCATTTTCTGGAACATCATCATAACAATCCAATTCCTGAATTTCCTGGTGAATTTCTTGTGACTCCATTTCTTTCAGAATCAGTGGACCAAATCTCTCATATTTAGCCTAGGGGGGCCTTATTTTCGGGGGATGCCTTATATTTCACTCAGAAGGAAACCTTTAAGTGGGTCTTATTTTCAGGGGATGTATTATTTTCGGGGAAACACGGTATCAAATAGCATAGAAGCATACTGTTAAATTTTTCTTAAAATTTCTCATTTTAATACATTTTTCTTAAAATTTTTGTTTTTAAAATAAAGTACGTTTGATTTTGCTTTCCCTCCAGCCCCTACCCCATTTATCTGTTCTCCTTTGCAGCCAAACTGTACATACTGTCTTCTGTTTTCCTACCGTTATTTATCCAACTCATTCCAGTCAGGCTTTTGCCCCATCTGTCCAAACTTCTCTTAAGGTCGTGATGACCTCTGTGAATTCACATCCATTGGCCAGTTCTCAGTTCTCCCCTTATTAGACTTAGCATTTGCTAGAATTGGTCACATGTACCTCCTTAATATACTTTTGTTTATTGGCTTCCAGGACAACACGTGCTCTTGGCTTTATTCTTCCTCATTGGTCATACCTGAATATACTTTCTGTCTCCTTTCCCATCTCTTACCAGGGCTTATTCCTTGGCCCTCTTTTCTTTAATTATGCTCATACTCTGGTGATATCAAGCTTCAAGGATTTATGCTAATAACTCCCAATTTAAGTCTTCAGCCCAGATCCCTCTTCTACTCATGTAGCCAACTGCTTACTTAACATATTTCATGTCTTAACACTTAAGCCCCTGATTTTCTTTCCAAAACAATATTTACTCACAGTTTTCAATGCATCAACTGATGGCAAATCTATATTACTAAGTGCTCAGACCGGAAGACTTGGAGGCATTTTTGACTTTTCTCTCTTTCCTACATCCCACATTTCATTTATCAGAAAATCATGCTGGCTCTACCGTCAAAATATATGCAGAATTTGACCATTTCTCACTTCTTATATGGTTACCCTGGTGTGAGCAGTCATCTCACTGGTCTTTCTGTATCCAACTTGCTCCCCTCCAAACTGTTCAACATAGCACCCAAATGACCCTTTTAAATTTATCAGATCTCTATTCCAGAGTTTTCAATGACTCCCCATTTCACCAAGAATAGAAACCCAAGTCCTTACAATGGTCTGATTCTACCTATTTTTCTGCTATGTATTTAGTCTTCCGATCCAAACTGTCTTGTTCATTCTTTGGGCTTCCTTCTGTCTTAGGTGCTATCCCTCTGCCTGGACCATTCTTTTTCTAATTAGGTACACTGGTAATTCACCTTAGGGCCTCCTCCCACTCCAGTACTTACTTTAAATTTCATCCTAGTAACAACACATCCACCTCTTGTAAATTCCCTTATTGTGTTTTCCCCCATTGCTTCTTTCTAATTATTATGTTCTAATAATTCCAATTAATTATACTCTGAAGACAGATATAATATTGTCTTCTCCCACTGAAAAGTACCATAAGCTTAATGAAAGAAGAGGTTTTTGTGTGTGTGTGTGTGTGTGAGTGTGTTTGGTTTTTTTTGTGTCCATTTGACCTCCAATGTATCTAAAGTGTTCAGAATGGAGCCCAGCATCTAAGGGATTTAAGCAATATTTGACTACTTTGACTGGAGAGATCAGGGAACACCTTAATAATGACATGTTGCTCTTTGAAGGCAGCTGGATTTGAGTCTGGCCTAAGAGGCTGACACCAATTTGGAAAGGATGTTAAGTAAGGTTGAGTTATATGTTTCTATATATATTTAAGTCTTTGCTTGAAAATCTAAAATGACAGCAATGTTCTTTAACCTGTTAACCGAGCGGGACGTATAAATACGTCAAACGTAAACAATATCGGGTACGGGTAGGACATATGAATACGTCCTTGAAATATATGTTGCGCCCTGAGAGGGACGGTATATATTTTTTGTAATCTTTATAATTGTTTGTAAAATTTATAATTTTTTAATTCGATGTTTCCATTTTTTTGTTGGTATTCTTTTCTATTTTTTTTGTAATTTTGTATTTTCCTGTGCTTTATATATAAATAAACAAAAAAATATATGTCATTTATTTTAATTAAGTATAAATTTAAAAAATAATAATATGAAATTACGTCCTCCGGGCATGACGTACTAACACGTCCTAGTGAAAGAGTACGTGCCCATTACAGGTTGCATAATTAAAAAGGGAACTCCCCGGTTAACAGGTTTTAATTACACTGAACATGGTTCCTTTTTGCATGCACTCTTTCAAATAACTAGGAAGATACTAGTGAATCCGTTTTCAATATAGCATATTTAATGTGGCAAACATGATTTGTCCAGGAAGTTAACACTGTTGTGAAAAATTGTGAGCATGGTATTCTCACAATGCCTTTTCATGTTTATTAGAGTTGTTTCTTTATTCCTTTAATTCTTCTCTTACCTTGATTACCTGCATAAAGATATAATTATGAGACCCACCTTTTCTCAT